ACATGGGTCAGCAGGCAGGGTGCTGAAGCGCTTATGGTTGGACTCAGTGATACTGAAGGTCGGTTCCAACCATAACGATTCTGTGATTCTATGATTCTGTATCTTCCGTTAAGCCAACATTGCACTGAAAACATAGAGATGGTTTCTCTGTGATTTACATGGAAAATCTCAGTCTCTGCTTTTCTTTTGCCTTTCATGCCAATATCAGTTTGAATCCTACACAAGTAACACTTCCAAGGGGACTATCTTCACCACAAAAATACAGTGTAACACTCATGTGATTGATGCCCTGGACTGTGCTGTGAAAGAATGGTATTGAATACTGTAGGTGCAGGAAGTGGTTCAACCCAGCTGTTTTTAAAGAAGATTTTTGGTTTGCCTTTAAACCCAATGTTTCACTAATCTTTACATCATAAACAAAATAATTAAATTTCATAGTTTTTAGATTTCTGTTTTATGTGTATTTCTCTTTTTGTGCATATTTTCACTGTAAATAAACATATTTTCAGTTACAAATTAACTGCTTATTTTCACTTTATCACAGTAGTGCTGTTTAATCATATTTTGCTTTGCAGTATTCCCTCTTTAATTAGAAGAACAATCTGTTGCTATGGTATTGCAATGGGAAGTGATAAAGAATGGAATTTTGCATGGGATATGTATAGCCAAACCAACTCCACAAAGGAAGATAAAGACATCCTACTCTTTGCCTTGAGCTGTGCCAGAGAATCATGGTTACTTTACAGGTGACATGGATCAAAGTACATTTTTTACATTTTTGCATGTATAAAAATAAGTTGTAAAAACACAAATACTGTACTGAGCTGGACACAGTACAGGTCTGCCTTCTGCAGAACCGTACGTCCAGTAGACCAGGGGCAGATTCATAAGGATGTTTTTAAAGGAAAATATGATAAGCAGGGCAAAAACAAATGAGCCTTCTGCTTTGTAACACCATTCCTTTCTTGAGCTAGTAAATATTCCTACTACATTATGTCTAGTGCTAAAAATGGACATCTTCTCTCAGTGTATTTAGTTTCCTTTTTGAACTCAGACTGCAGACTTTACAGCAGACTATGTATGGCAAATTTTATAGTATAATTGCATGTTGTATGTACTTTTTTTTTTCCTTTTAACTTTGGTCTCATTGGCTTCCCTTATTCTCTGCAATGTGAGAAATAGTAGTCATAGTTTGCCTTGACATTTTTCTCTACCAGTTACGGTTTGTGTCACTTTTGCTTATATTTTCTCCCATGGTTACTTTCCTTCCAAGCCTAAAGTGTCATCCTCTATTTAGCCCTTGCATGGACACCAAATTGCCTATTCCTATGTTAAGTAAAAAAATGAAAATGAGGTTAGAAGCAAGCTGTTCACCATTTGATGGGCAGTCTCACACTGCAGTATTGCTTTCTAAATATTGCAGTGTGAAAAACACCGCAATACAGTGTGGAATATGATGTGGAACTACCATTCTTCGGCTTCCATATGAAACCTCTTCACTTTATAGGTAAAATGGCATTGAAGCTGAATTCTCTAATCTGTCATATCTGTGTTATCCTAAAGAATAGCACGCAGGACAGAAACTTGCCAGTGGACACCTATAGAACCCTCCTCTCCCATGGATATAAACGCCATGGATATAAAGTTTTGAACGGAGCAGAGCTATCCCTCCTGCTAGACCCTTGTTCTTGTGAAGGTGATCTTGTGAAGGCAGAACAGATATGCCTCAAGAAGGCAGGTGGTGTAAGAAAATGTGTCCGAGTAAATATGTGCTGATTTTCCACCTAGCCCATAGTCATTTAGTGACATTCTGTCACTAAACATAGACTAGTAGTGGTCCCTGACCAGCTGTGAGATGTATTGAAACCCAGATGACACCACTTCAGTGAGCTGTTGTGACGGCCTTCTTCCCTGTGCCTCGGTAGTTAACAAGCCATTTTTCTAAATGCCATCTTAAAAATTTCTTTGGATGAGGATTGTTAAGCACAGCTTTTCTCTGCCCTCAGTATAGTCCTGTCAGTTCTGCTAAGCCTGTTGGTGGCATGCAAATGGAAGAAATCCCTGCTTACCTTCTCTATCCATGAAAGCAGCTGCCTGCACAAACCTGTAAGGAGACAACTCTAACTCTGCTAGCCATGAAGAGGTTGCATATTTACTTTTTCAGGATGCTCTCGAAATCATTGGTAGATAATTACCTCACTACTTTGGAATCAGGTCTTAGCTTCCATGGGAGTGTATCAGAGCCCTGGTCACTGCAGTGGGTCTCTGTGTAACAGAGCATCTTGCTGCTCCTCACTCTAGGCTCTGTCTGAGTCTGAGCAGAGTGAGTCCCCAAAAAGTCAGGAGCAGTTTGCTTTTCCACGGGTTTGTGTGGTGAAAGTGAGAGAAGATCCTGTGGTAAAGGAGCACAAAGAACAAAGAAAAGCAGACATATCCACCTGATGTGATATGTCCTCATTTCACTGAGCCTGTGCATAAGAACAGGGAGTTTCAGCAGTATAGGCAGAAAATACAAGCTGAATACACAGCTCAGACTGATGCTGACTTTAGTATAATGTTCTCAATTCTGGTGGTGTTTGCCATAAGAAAATCTTACAAGCTGGTAAATGATTCCAGATCTTCGTGGTTAATGAGAAAGCGATAGTTAAACGTTTTTACTTCTTTTATAACAGATACTTGCAATATGGACTCAGTGATACATTATTTTCTTCCAACTGTACTTCAGACATCATCCTATATGTGATGGTTAAGGATATTGGGCAACGTATAGCCTGGGAATTTGTGACAGAAAATTGGCCACTTCTAAGTGAAAGGTATGGAGAATGGTCGCCATCAAGTTTCTTTTATTTCTGACGCTCTTTGGCTTTTTCTTCCATTTTTAGGTTCAAACTGTAAAATCAAAGTGTAGATTTTCCTTCTAGGTAAATCTCCTTTTTGTACCCATGTGATTTCTTCAGTGCTCAGACCTGCAGATTCAACTCTCATTAGGATTTAGTGTCAAAAAGAGCTCATATTAGGCACAAACTGCTTAAAAATGAGACTGTTCATGACACTGTCTGCGCTTGTAGGTGTTCAACTTCTTGGAAAATCTGAGCCTGCTTACTAAACTAAGTGGGGAACTTCCCCCAAAATCCCAATTGTGAGATAGTGACAGCTAAAAATCTGGCCATATGTTCCTACTATATTTGGTAATAGAGATGTTCCTTAGGAGCCATTAGTGGCAGCATAACCAAAGCCAGGTATTTGGGAGCATTTGGTTCTGTATTTAAGGTTTATTTGTATTACTAGTTCTAGTAAAGGTATATTAACAGCAGGCTTGTGCCACCTTGTTCCCTTACGGAACTTTTCTGCACTTCATGGTAATGAGAAAATTTGCAGGGAAACAGATTCCTTATTTTCAAACTAAAAAACTGTATGAGTATTAGCTTTATGTGCTCTCTCCAGGATACTAGCAAAAAACAGCAAATTGTTAGAATTATTATTTCTTGGTTAGGTTAGGCCAAGAAAATAATTCATAATACCAAAGTGAAAATACAAAAGCTTGCAAAGAAACAAAAATTTTGGCTAATTAGTGCTGCTTCCTGTTTAGATGTCTAAACTGAAATTTAATGATGTTTCTTTAAATCAATTCCAAACTTCACCTTAGATGGTATTTCCAATATGATAATAAATAAGCACAGAGAATATTTTCAAAGGAGATAAAAGTAACTTATTTGCTAACATGCTGATGGAAGTATGTTTGTCCCACTTTTACAGGTGTGGGGAGGAACTATTACATGATATATTAAAAGTAATGGCAAGATTTGTCAATACAGATATACAAATCCAAGAGGTAGGTTAATAATGTGGAAGTAATTTCAACTTTATTGTGAGCTTGTGAATAAAGAATTTTAAATCTCTTTCTTTTAAAGAAGTCTGGGAATTATGTCATGTTGCTGTGCTGAGACATTGAGAAGAGTTACACTTTCTGATCTGAGAAGCAGATGTATGAACATGAACTTGCAGCTCTGCAGTCATGTGTGCATTCTGTGGTTAGGTATGGTGTGAAAGGGAGCTTTTGAGCAGGGTGCCTGTTGTCCTGGTTTTTGTGGCTGCAACTTATGGGACTACCTGTCTGTGTGCTGGACAGATGATGTGCAGAATACATCACTTACAGCAGCCCTGATGAGCCCGTGAATGATACCTTCTAATTGGGCTGCTGTACATCTGGAAAAGAGGGTATGTTTTAGGAAAAATACTGAAGGGTGGAAATATGTGATCGGTAGCTTTTCTTTAGCTCAGTCACCAGTAGTAAGGTACGTCTTAGTGGCTGTGGCAAATGGATGAACACTGCTGGTTGTTTCATTCTCTTTTTCTTTCCTCTTCAGTCCAAGTCTCAGCAGATTATTTCCCAGTGCATTCCTTTATTATTCCTTTATTACCAGCTCAGCTTTTGTGCTTTCTACATTTGATCTGCTTGTCTGTGCTAGCCATAGCACGAAAAATATTACTTTCATTCCTTGGCCACTGGTTGATGCGTGCATAAAGCAAGTAGCTGGGAAAGGATACCTGATGTGGACAGAAATTCAGAGAGTTAGCTCCTAAAATCAAGTCTCTCTTGAGTGCATGCACTGCTTTTCATGTCATGTTACATTCCCTGCTGAGAAGTCAACTCCCTATAATGGTGAAAAATTTGCCCAGTATCAATCTTTCAAGTAATCTTCAGGCTTGGGAGGGAGTTCCAATAAAGCAGCAGCAGATGCTTCTTTTTTTTTTCTTTAAAATCTGTCTGAAGAGGTCATCTTTTCCATGGAAAACTTGACAGAAGTACGGCTGCTGCCATGTTAGGGTAGCTGTTCATCATGCTGATACATCTATCTCACTGCTCTGAATGTTTCATTTGCCTTCTCCCTTGGCAGTGGTGTGCATTTCTTTGCTGTTCTTCAGTGCTCTTTTACCTTCTACTTGTTAGATTGCTGGGAGAGACATACTGTTCTGTGATTGTAGAAGAAGCACCACAGGAGGATATGCTGATACCAACTTGTCTTAGACAGTGTGTAGTATTGCGAGTTCTACTAGTGATGGCAAAAAGGCACATTCCTTGTGTCCAGCCTGCTTTAGGGGCTGGTTGCTTGGAAGTGCTGATTGCTCGCCCCTTGAAAAAGCTGGGCTTTCAAACTCTTTTTGTCCTTTTGCAAAATGGAGCCTTTGACTCTGGAGTGAGCCAGTAGTTCCTAATTAAAACTTTCTGGCCTCTATGAAATGGTGGTAAAATTCCCTCTGAATTTATGGAAAGCAGAATCCCACCTTCAGTGTAATCTTTAATCTTGCCCCTACCCACACTTTTCTCCCTTTTTACTACATACTTGTGTCTAAAACCTCTGTCACTTGTAGTTGATGACTTTGCTCCAAGTAAAGCTGCACAAACTAACCTCACATATTTGTTCTTTTCAGTTGCAAGTTTTTTATAATATGACCCTGGAGGAGAATGAGAGGGGGGCTACCACTGCGCTGCTGGAGTCTGCAAAATTTGAAAATACAGAAAGGAGAGAACTTCTAATGAAAGTTGCTGACTGGTTACAGAAAAATATAGATGAATAATGCGAGGAAATGATTTCCAGTATATTTTAGTGCAATTCACTAGGATTTTGGTATTCATGTAAAGCTTTAATTAAAGATAAAACACACTTTTATGAGTTCTGCTGTTGTCATCCCAATTGGAAAGTTTGGCTAAACCAATTCAAAATGAACAGATTCATCAAGAAAAATAAGGAGATATATTTGCATGTCATACCTGATGAGAGGATTGGTTGTTAGTAGGGAGATGTTGCTCATAATAACATAAAAGTGCAGAATGCAGTTAATTTAACACTTCTGAAATGGGATCAGTCTTCACCACCATGTGTTTCCAGTCTTACTGTGCTGATCTGCACACTAACATAGAGGTTTAGTCATCTTGCTTACAATGTGTTTCAGAGAGAGACAGAATTCAAGCAATTAATATCATTAAAATATATTAGCTTATGATTGAAGAAATATAGACTTGCTCAGTCCACAGTTATTCTCAGACTACAGTTTGTTTATCTGTGTGGGAAAAGTTTAGCAACAAAAATGCTGTACTGGTGCTCTGGTTAATATAAACAAAAAGCAAATGAACAAACAGAAGGTATGTGGGAGCCAAAACAAGTTAAATGTCACACTGTAATGAGACAAGGAATAAAAATCAGACCCAATATACAACATTTCAAAATCAGACTTGTAAGTATAAAAACTTTTTTGTCATTATTTTCTAGTAAGTACGTTTAAGGAAAGCATTGCCATGTTGGTTGCAATAAATCTCCTTTGCTTCTCCATGCTACATGGGTGAATTGAAGCTATTTTGAAGTTAGTAGAGGATCCCTTTAGCATATGGGATGGAGCCAGTTTTGCTCTTTGCTCTGATCTTTTTCAGGGACAGTACCAGAGAAAAGCGTGTGTGGTTTTGAGGGCCTCCACCAAGCTGATTTAGACATCAGAGCAAGTCAGCTGGGTTAGGATGAGTCAGGGGCAGGGGTGCCTCAGTGTTTCCAGTCTCTCCCATCAGGCTGCTGCTGGCTCTGAATGGCTCATGAGATAAACTAAGCAAAGCTTTAGAAAGTCGCTGTTGCAGGATCTGTTTATTCATCTTCCCATTGCAACATTTTAGCCCAGCATGTCCAAAGCATTTTCTTCCCAGTGACTCCTCTCCTCTCCTCTCCTCTCCTCTCCTCTCCTCTCCTCTCCTCTCCTC